ATTTAACCTAGAAATAAGTATGCCAGACTTTTTTTTCGGGTTTAAAGTGTAACAAGACCACTCCAAATATGTTTAATTATTATACCTGGAAAACATACTTTAGGCATTCTAAAATTTTTACAGCGTGTTTATTAGATGATATTAAAAAATATGTGTTAACTGCCAGACGAATTCAATGGGATTTAATACTTGCCAGACGTGAATAAAGATTTTAAATGAGCGCGATAAGAAAGTCTTATGAGTATCTATAAGCGCGAGAAAGATAGTTTATTGAGACCCGGTCGGCAGCCGATGCGGCTGACGTAACAGCATTTTGAAGTCGTAAAAACTTAAAAAAAAACTAACTAATATTGAATAACTAAAAAGAAATATGTTTTAATAAAAATGTATGATTGAAATCCTTTCAATAAGAAGACTTTTTAATTTAAGTATTTTGTATCTGAAAGAATAAAAAGACGAATAGTTATTTAAAAATTAGCATAATATAAAATATATTTTTTTGAAACGTCACAAAAGTATAATTATTATTATACTTTTGTGACATATTATATTATTATTAATTTTTGCGACCTGATTGACAATATAAAAAAGTAATTTTAACGCCTAAGCATAAAAGTAAAGCACTTTTACTTACTTTTGAATTTATTTAGAAAGATTAACAATGGTAGGTACTTTAATAAAATTCCAGAATACTTATTTTTTTAGCACTGTACATGGTACCCTTTTGTCGGAACTACGTTTTCTGGTAAAACCACTTCTTTAAATTTTAAACCATGTTGTTGGCGCACTTTTAAAAATTCTTTGCATTTTTGTAGTCTACCTTCATCAAAAGAATAACTTTGTCACTAGTAACTTTTTTACAAACTACACAACTTAAATGTTTTTTATCCATTGTGATTTAGTAGTTAGTAGCGAAATTAGTAGTTACTAAAATATTTATTTGCAGTAATTATTCTAAACTATTTACACTATGCACGTCAATATTTAATTTATAAATACATATTTGTACATGGTAACTTAATTCCAACAAAATAATCTCTGAATTAAAAGCCTGCAAATAATTGAAATGATACCGAATCGGCTGCCGACGGGTCTCAATAAGCTATCTTTCTCGCGCTTATAGATACTCATAAGACTTTTTTGTCGCGCTTATTTAAAATCTTTATTCGCGTCTGGCAAGTATTAAATCCCATTGAATTTGTCTGGCAATTAACACATATTTTTTAATATCATCTAATAAACACGCTGTAAAAATTTTAGAATGCCTAAAGTATGTTTTCCAGGTATAATAATTAAACATATTTGGAATGGTCTGTTTACACTTTAAACCCGAAAAAAAAGTCTGGCACACTTATTTCTAGGTTAAATAGATGCTAAAATTTAAGAATAAACAAATTTGAAGTTGCCTAAAGAATGTTTTTTGAATTTATTTTTTTGCAAATGTTATGGGTTGCGCAGTAGCGAAATACCCCCAACCCCACAGCCAGACTTAGGATTCTGGGTTCACAAGTTATTAAACTTTATTTTTTTTGTTATTCTAACTTGCCCAAAATATGTTCTCTAAATATGTCGCCAGCTCTCCGGCTATTAGTTAGAGTAGCATGTGCTATAGGTACAATGATTGAAATATACTCTGTTTTACCACTCAGGTAAGATTTAGACAGACGATGATAGAAAAAAAGCAGATGACGTCCATACCAATCTATTTAATTCACTAAAAAAAGTGTCAATATTTTTTAAGTTAATTATGGATTTAACCAGTTTTATTGGTTTATTTCATAAATGACAGATCATATTTCAATATTATTGGAGTGACGGAACGATGAACGAATCAATGATGCAGAAGCGTATGAACTCGCCTTTAGATTTTTGAGGCTTGTCAAAGTATTGCCAAATTAGAGGTTATAATTTGTGTCAAATACCCCGCGTTTTGGAAGGTGATGCATTTTGATTCGTGTTATTACGTGTGTTTTGTGTCTTTTGAAGTTGAAGGAAAATTAACTGTAGACCCAGAGCACAGTTTATAGTTAATACTCGGTGCCCAGGCAGACAGTTTTATACACCAATAAAGTTTGTATACCATCTCGTATTATATACCTACTCGTACTAAAAACTGGAGTAGCTGTAAAATAACGACATCACACGATAGGTAAGTAATGGATTTTAGTACTGCAGAAAGTTAAGGTCAAAAAGTACTGGTTTAAAAAAATTAACATGATAGAAAATTAATTAACTTTTAAGGTATACAGTTCTATTTTGTTTTATTTATGTTGTGTTTTATTTATTCCTGATGTGCAATATTACAAATTTTTATATGCATATAAGTTATATTTATAAATATAATAATAAATGCTGGAAGTTTCTTGAAGCTTAAGAGCTTGATAATAAATAGTTCATTTTTATATTTTTTGTTATGTGGTGTTTTGTTCTTGTTTGTTTTGTATTATTACATATCGTATTTTTTTAATAAAATAACTCGATTAAATTTTTTCAGTTTTTTACAGTTTCTTTTCACAATATTTTGAAGTAATCATTTGTCACTCAAACTTTAAATATATTAATTTCCTGCTATGCGTTCCAATTGCACCAACTTATTTCTATGTAAAATAAAATAAACTACTTTGAAATTAAAACGACAGTCACATCTTTCACTGTCCAGGATTTTGTCATTGGACAGACTATATATTTAAGTAGGGACGCAAATTGTGGTAAGTCGACAAACTGGTTAGAAATAGGCTGTGGTCTAAGCTATCCCGCTCTCACTTAAAATCTCTACTGATCTTTTAATGCATCTGTTTGAAACTTTTCACATGTACTAAACAACGTCTTGTATATCCAAAGCTGTACCGAAAGATCATCGAAATAGACTAACAGTTTCGTTATATTGCTTAAAACGAACAAGAAGATACCGAAAACAATCATTAAAAAATGTTCTAAGTAACCGTGTGGCAGTGAAAAATTAGTTAGAAAGAAGAACCGTTTAAAGTAGTAGATATATACGTATTTAGTTTAATTTTCTCTATTAAGTACGACTTGATTCAGTCAAATAAGTTCGTCACATTCTCGAGTAACGAGAGAAAAATAAGGCAGCTAAAACGAGATTTCAAAAGATAAATCAACAAACCTAGAGTAACAGATAAAGATAACACTACTACGACTAGAAAATTTGACTATAACAACAAAACACTTTTTCGATGGTACCACTGCAAGTTTTTTTAGATTCAGAGCAAATCTTTTTAACATAAACTTTTTTATTGGATAAAAACTTTGTTAAAATTATTATTTCTTTATTTGAAAAAGTTGTTTATTTCTGTAATTTTACATAATAGTGGGTGTTTTTCAAAAGTGGCTCACACCTATAACTTTTTATTTTTTTCAGATAAAAAAACGAGATTTGGTGTGTTAGTATACGACATAAATTAAGACTGATTGACATATTCAATTGTTTTCGGTCACTTCCTGTTTCGCCGGAAATGACTACAACTTTTCATTTTAAATGGTACTCTCGGTATTTTTTTTTGCTTTATTCGATAGAAAATGACAGTCTTGGGTTAAGGGATTTCTCGTTAACGTGATAGAATATTTGACAGACAAACTTAAATATTTTTGGTTCTATTATGAGAAATAGTTTCTACTGGTTAAAAGTAACATTTTTCTTCACCTAGATGGCTGAAAATTGGTATATTTATGTCAAGTTAAAAAAGAAACAACTTTTTCAAATAATATTTTTATAAAATTCGGCCAGCAAAGCCATTTGTCATTTTTTTTAATATGTTGAATTTGGCAGATACCCGAGAGGTTAAGAGACCCATCAGATTAATATTTTATGCTGAAATTGGCACTGTAAATAACATAAATTTATATAGGGCGTTTCAAAAAACATGTGCCATCTCTCGTGGGGAGATTCCTCACGTAAAAATAAAATTTATTTTTCATATCAACCTGGGTCCGATTCTACTTTGTTTCGTAGCTACAGTAGGTTAGTCTTCATTTTTTTATTTATTATAATTTTCTTCCAAATGCTTTTCGCGATTCGAATGAAATTTTGAAGGTAAAAGTTACTATGAGTGCTACATATTTTAATGGTAAATGTCGGCAAATTCACCAGGGTCGTGCATGTGGGCGCATGTGCGTCACTGACTTTTTTCCTCTTATTTGTGTCAAATTTTCTTATTTATTTTATTTCTTTCTTTAGTATTAAATTTTACCTTTTATTAGTGTCATTAGTCTCAAAAGTATGTAGGCCATTTAATGCCGATTAAAAGTTGTATCATGATATTTTGTCCATTTTAATCTCCTCGATGAGATAATCGCTATTTTATTGATCACAATTAATAAAATTAAAATAAAATTAATAAATTATTATTAAAATGTAATAATAATTGTATTTAAGATAATTACAAAAAATAATTTTATTTAAGATAATTACAAAAGGCTTAATTTTTAAAGTTCCTCAAAAAAAGTCAGTGGCGCACATATTTTTTTAGAAAAATATTCTAGTGATAACCCATATGCACGTCCCTGGTGAATCAGTCTACACTTTTTTAGCATTAAAATATGTTGCACTTATAGTAACTTTAAACCCCTGTAGCTACGAAACAAAGCAGAATTGGACCTATGTTATTATAAAAAGTAACTCTTATTTTTACGTGAGGAATATCCCCAGGAGAGATGGTACATATTTTTTGAAACACCCTGTAGAAAAAAATATATGGATTCGTGTTAAAATTTGGTATAACAAAATAGTGAATCTTATATCCAGTTATTTTAAAAATATAAAAAAAATCTAAAGGGAAGTATGAAAAAATTTTGCTCTGATATTTAAGAAAATACAAAATTTTATTTAATACTGATGTTAAAAATTCCAGTTAATATTATATAAAAACATTTTTTTAGTACCTAGTATAAAACAATATAAAATTTTATAGTATCTTTTTTTTTCTTTATGAAATTTGATTTCTTCAAAATAAAGTTTTAGTACTATAAAACGGTAACTGGAATTCATAACGTGTATGATGTATTTGTTTCAAAAAGGTGGCGTTTATCGGAAAAAGTGTACTCATTACTACAATCACAGCTCAGTATATAGTTTTCTTATTTATTTCGGTGTGAAACACAGTTCCTATTAAGAGAGTTCGTACGATTTTTTTTTGTTTACTAATACATCTCACTTTTGTTGTCGATCCTTGCATTTTTCATGTGTAAATGCAGTTGAAAAATATGAATTAACAGTCAAAATAGACATTATTGTAACTGCACGGTAGATCCGAAGCCTCAAAATCTCATTTTTTCGTGTTATCTACATTCATTTATATATGGTTTATGTTTTTTATACATTCAAACTTAATGGCTTCTGACCTCCGGAGAAATTATTATTTATATATGGATTATATATTCTTATTTATCACTACTGTTATAGCACTGGTATCTTACAATACAGTACAAATTTTTCTATATAGAGCTTTTTTGTTTTATAAATAAATAAAACTCAGGTTCTTGCTGATTTTGACTCTTCTGCATGCTCCCCGCTATTCAATCTGAAAAAAAACAGGCAAAAATAGATTAAATAATATACAGGGTGTCCCAGAAATAAGCGCAAGTATATTAAGGGGTGGTAGATCTGGTCAAAAGAAACATTTTTTCTCTTTACCATTTTTCAAATAAGCCTAAAATAACCGAATAGTTTTACTTTGAAAATTTAAACAAAAAGTGCTTTTTTGCTTAAATTTTGAGAACCAACCACTGGATCTTTTCTGGATTTTCTTTCATGTAAACTTAATCTACTACCTATGTATATTATCAAGAAATTATGTTTTTTAACTTAAAACTAAAAAAAATTCCAAAATTTGTTCCAAAAAATTCCAAATTTTCAATATTTTTTTTTGTAAAAAAACTCATAGACGTGTTTCTGAGGCCGAAATATACTACCAGTTAAAATACTTGCACTTATTTCTGGGACACCCTGTATAATGTTTCTTTGGATGGATCTAACCTTTGAATCTTTGAATAAGAAGACTAAGGAAGGAGCATATCAAAAATCTTAGGTACACCGCGATGGGCCTCAAATATGGCCGACTTAAATTCCGGTTTATCAGTGTCGTTCTAATTTTATTTAAAAAATGTAAAACTATGATGTAGGGTAGACGTGGGGTAGACTCAATAATTTGTTGTTTTATTTTATGTTGTGAATAAATGTTGGTAGTTATTAAAATTGTTATAAAAATATATAATTTTAATAAAAATAGATAAGTTATAATAAGTATTTATTAACACAAACATCCGATACGCTACTGAAGAAGGTAAGTCAAATTAACGTATCTAAATTCTTTGACATCTAATCTTTGACAAGTAATAAATAAAAGCTAAAATGCAAGAAAAATATATAATTTAGTTAATTTAAGTGAATTTCATAAATGATCGGTTTACTACACGTATGTATATTATATAGTCATTTACTAGCGAAAAGTTGTTCCATTATTTCACTCAATTTTTGCCGAGATCTACCGCACGCTACACAACCAACTATTTTAGAGTCTTTTCGATAAATCGCGATAGTGTCACTGTTAATTTAAGTTCTGCCACAATTTCCATCTAGATTTACTACTTTATACAACTATCAGTAGTAGAATAAATAATAAATAACATAAAATAAGCTCCGTAAAGACTGACAAATCCACAAAATTTCAAATCAAATTCAAATGTGTCAAATGAATCGTCAAACAGAACTGTCAAGGATCCCCACCCTAGAGAGCTTTTATGGTGGCTTTTCCGCCCACCATGCATGAATACATGGATAGCTTATGCTCCTTCCTTAGTCTTCTTATTCAAAGCTTTGAATAAAAAGATTAAGGAAGGAGTATAATGCTATCCATGTACAGGGTGGTCGAAATTGGTTTGTTTTAACAGAGAAAACCTATTTCCTGACTAGATGGAGCAAAACTGACATAGATGTCATGGGCTCGATTTCTGAGAAACGTTTAATGGCGTAAACCGTCTGTTGATATTTTCACTGCCAACCGAGATACGGGGTCCTTTTGATTTTTTTACCATTTGGAAAATTGCCCATAACTTTCGTATTTCGAGGAATAATAAAATTGAGTAAAAACGTTCTTAAGGCACTTTTTTAAGCACAATCCAGTGGCGTAGTCATTCTTTTTTCTATAACTTCCCTTTTTGTCAGAAATAAAAAAAAATATAATTTTTTAAATGGAAATCATAGTTGGCTGCGAACTTGAAAAATGCTGGCGTTTAACCCTTTCCAACGATATAAAGTTATGTGTATTTATTTCTAAGAATGAGAGAAATATTAGGTTTTTTATCTTTGTATCGAAGCGGGCCTTGATTTTGTGTTGCCCTAGTTTTCTAATTATTTTTTATCACTATTTAATATTCTATATCATTATATATCCGCATAATTAAAGACTTTTGAAAAGGTAAATCAACATATTATATTAGTATTACCATTTACAATTAAAAAGCCAGGATTACAACTACACTATTAAATGGAGAATTTAGAGAATTGAATTGAAACAAGGGATCCCATATCTTGGCCTGCTAGGTCCTGTGATGTAACTCTTTTTGATGGGAGAAATTAAAAGGCCTTATCAAGGGAAGAACCATTGGGACTAGAGAAGAATTACAGAAGCCTAATAGGCAAGCTTTTGCACTTATTACACCAGTTCGCCTAACTCTACTAACAGTAACTCTGTGCGCAAAAGATGTTTATTGTGTATTCAACAAGGAGGCGCTCAGTTTGAACATCTTTGATGATTTTTTTTAGAAAACTTTATTCGTCACTCAAGAAATACGTTTTTTTAGTTGTTTTGTTCTTTGTTTATTGTATCGATTTCAATTGTAATTATTAATACTAATATAGAATGTTAATTTACCTTTTCAAAAGTCTTTATGCAGATAAATAAAAATATAGAATATTAAATTGTGATAAAAAATAATGAGGCAAATAGGTCAACACAAAATCAAGACCCGCTTCGATATAAAGATAAAAAACCTAATATTTCTCTCATTCTTAGAAATAAATACCCATAACTTTACATCGTTGGAAAGGATTAAATGCCAGCATTTTTTAAGTTCATAGCCAACTGTAATTTCCATTTAAAAAATTATATTTTTCATTAATTCTTTTGTTTTACTCTATCTCGTCAGGAAATAGGTTTTCTCTGTTAAAACAGACCAATTTTTTGTTGGTCTGTTTTAACAACCACTTTGTTGCATTTCTTTTTCTATTGAGGGAGTACTTTTTAATCACCTCAATTGAATTTTATATTAAAAATAACAAAAATTTACTATGGTTAAACACCGGTTTCTATAAATTTCTGTAATATTCTATATAATTCTCTAAATATACACGGTGTCCCATATAAGAATAGACACTAATTGTGGACCTAATTTAGTAACATTTGTATCTCTTCTGCTTTACAAGATATCTGTATTGTGCATTCTTATACGAGACATCCAAAGATTGCTTGAAAATTTTATTGGACTAGCGTTGCCTTGTATTATATTATGTACAGTTCATACCAATAAATTTTAGTCACGTGATTAAGCTTGACCGTCACACCGTTGTGCACTTTTATATATTTTCTTTTAATCAAAATATTTTAGGAAACAAAAATAAATTAATTATAAATATATAAACAGTTATTATTTACGTCAGCAAAACTCACCTTCTTAACAGCACTTAAGGGACATAAAGGGCAATTACTGCCGCTTTCCCATTCAAAATATTCTAATAAAGTTGCGATGAGTTTTTTACGGCTATTAACCTATCTTGTACACTTCGCACTAAAAGAGGTTCTAAAAAGAACAATGTTCGACTGCAAGGTCTGCTAGTAAACATTTTCAAGCTTAAAGTATCACAACACGATTTATTTAAACCAAAAACTCGTAGTACAAAACTGAATTGTCAAAACGAATGACAATGTCAGGAAATAAATAAATAAAAAATTAAATTCCAGTTAGTCAGCACGGAGCCGAATATGTCCATGGTGCAATATACAGATAGTTAACTGAACAGTTACTTATAGGGGAACAGAATGGCAACACTGCCTATTGAGAACGCATGCACTTATAGGGTTTTCTGCCGACTCGTCCCGTCGCGTCTTCTATCGACGAGCGGGCCGAGGTTGCCATATTTCAACCATAAAGCTCTTGCCGCGAGTAATAAACAAATTAACAACCTGTATGTCCAAACTAGTGCTTTTGGTGTTTTTAGCATACGGAATTGATTTCTCGACTTCCCAGAGGCGTTGAGTTTATTGTACCGTCTCGATTAAAGAGACATTTCTCGAGAATTCTCGAGCAGAAACACTAGTTGATATACCCCTTCCTTAATCTATCTTCCTTATTCAAAGTACCTAACTATATTTTATAAGTACAGATAGATTATTGCTCTTAAAATGTTTACTTTAAGAAAAGTCGTTTAAAAGTAGTTTTAAATATGAATAGCAGACCTGATGTTATTTATGCCTGTGCAATTGGAGGAGCCCCCTTGAGATTGTAACTTTGGAGGGACATCCGCTGACTGGACCCCCAGCCTCTCTTTTTCTGCTCGTTCTTTCTGTAACCTAAAAATTAAAAATAAACGGTAATCACTAGTCATAAAATAAAATATCTTTTAAAACTATCTTTTTCATTTAATATTTCCTATCTTACCGTTGCTGTCGATCCCATTGGCTCATCCCAAACGCTAGGTTTGCGTTAAAATAAGAAAAAATGTAATTTTCTCAAATATTCAGAAAACAAGTATTTTTAACTATCTAATTGGTTATTAATTGAGCTATTTAAGAAAATTCGAATCATTTTGAGATGATCTTCACAGTTATCAATTCATTTTTATAATAAACAAAAAAAGCTCAGAAAGAAAAAATTGAAGCCAAACTACAGCTAATAATTTTGTGTTAGAATCATTTAGATCTTGATCGGTCTTTATATTGTATTGCATTTAAATAAATATTGTATATAACGTCTGTCCATTAAGCCTTGATTAAGCCAGAAAATATTTCGACAGATGACGTTCAAAAAATGACAGGATATACCATTTACCTGTGAATTAAAATGACATACATACTGTTATGAATTCTTTCGTAGTGACAGTTGTCTATCGTTTTAATTCAGAAGCAGATGTTTTTTTTTCTATGTAAGGTAAAACGTTTTAGAGTGCGATTTCTCAAAATATTTTATAGAAAAAAGTTCATCAAAAATGACACGATGTTAAATTAAAAATACCAAAAAAAAAAACGGTTCGAGTTAATTACAGCATTTATAACTGACTGATTTTAATAATCCCTGATTTATAGGATGTGTCTCCGCCCCGAATAGAAGAATAAGTCTGCGGTACTAAGACAAAACCCGATATGTCAATAGGGAAATAATGTTAATATATCGGCTTCTGTCTTAGTCCCACAGAACTATTAATGTATCAGAAAAATTCACGGAAAAATAAATTATACAGATAATTAATTTTTGAATAAATTAGTTTTGGAAATACGCCATCTTCAGAATTGACAGTGGAAATCAGTGACGTGCTAGACATTATAGGATATTCAATGGAAAATTGCATATTCAAATCTAGAAAGAACTTAGAAAAAAAATGACAAACTGTTAACCAATGAGTAGAAAAAATCTAAAGGAGAAGTCATAGAGAAACGACTTTATTAAATAAAACCCCTTCTTGTTAGTTTTAGAATCTGAATTACGAAAGTTTTGCTTTTCTGTGTTTTTTTATTTCTTGCCTATTTTAGAGTTCATTATACGCAAAGTGTGTAAATCTGGATATACACTGTGTTAGGAATTGAATTACAGTCAGATTATTGTCTCTTCCAAAGAGGCTTCATATTTTTTATAAATTAGGTAATTTGAGAAATGCACATTAAAATGTTAAATCTTAAAAATAGAATAGAAAAATAATCTGTGTAGGTATACGGGTGTTTTTCAAAAAGTGCTCACCCCTATAACTTTCTTATTTTTTCAGATAAAGAAACGAAATTTGGTATGTTAGTATATGACACAAGTCTGGACTGATTGACGTATTCAGTTATTTTCGGTCACTTCCTGTTCCACCGGAAATGACAACAACTTTTGATTTTTAAATGGTACGTATACTCTGTTTTTTTTCTCAGGTAAGATTTCGACAGACGATGACAGAAGAAAAGCAGATGACGTCCCATACCAATCTATTTATTTTACTAAAAAAAGTTTCTAATAATTTTTAAGTTAACTATGGATGGGTTTAAACATAAATTCGTCATGCGTCGTCACTTGTTGTTTTTAACCAGTTTTATTGGTTTATTTCAAAAATGACAGATCGTATTTCAATTTTATTGGTTTGACGGAACGATGAACGACAAACGGACGCCGATGCGTATGAACTCGCCTTTAGATTTTTGACGTTTGTCAAAGTCTTGCCAAATTATAGGTTATAATTTTGTAACAACTTTTGACAAATACCCTGCGTTTTGGAAGATGATGCATTTTGATTCGTGTTATTACGTGTGTTTTGTGTCTTTTGAAGTTAAGTGGAGGAAAAATCGAGTGAAAATTAACTGTAGAACCCAGAGCATAGTTTATGGTTAATACTCGCTGCCCAGGCAGAAAGTCTTATACAGATACACCAATAAAGTTACTATCAATAAAGTTCGTATACCTTCTCGTCGTAGATAAGTGCATCTCGAATATGGTAGAAGGACCATACTAAAAACTGGAGTAGCTGTAAAATATCGACATCACACGATAGGTAAATAATGGATTTTAGTACTGCAGAAAAATAATGTCAAAAGATACTGGTTTAAAAAAATTAAGATTAAAGTTAATTAATCAACCTGTGAGGTATAAAATTTGGTAAGTGTTATTATTAATAAAATAGTTTGTTTTATTTATGTTGTTTTATTTATTCCTGCGGAATATTACAAATTTGTATTTGTACATAAGTTATATTGATAAATATAACCATAAATGCGGGAAGTTTCATAAAGCTTGAAAGTAAGAAATATTTTTTTTATATTTTTTGGTATGTGGTGTCTTGTTTTTGTTTGTTTTGTATTAACACATACCGTTTTTTATTAAATAAAATAACTCGATTATATTTTTTCAGTTTTATACAGTTTTTTTCACAATATTTTGAAGTTACTTGTCAGTGAAATTTTAAATACATATATTAAATTCCTGCTATGCGTTCCAGTTGTACCAACTTATTTATTTGTAAAATAAAATAAACTACTTTGTAATTAAAATGACAGACACATCTGTCACTGTCAAGGATCTTCTTGTTGGACAGACTATACCCTCGGTATTTTTTATTTTATATGATAGAAAATGACTAAATACTGATATTTTTTGACAATTTAGAACTTTTGACATTTTCAATTAAAAAAATAGTATTTTAAATTTCAATCTAGAGTGTCATGGCTGTGTTAAAACCATTCATTTTTAACCAAGAAGCTTTGGATAAATAGATTTGATCGTCTACTGTCTCTCGTGTCTTTTCCTGGCCTGTTAAAAGATCCTAACCAAATCGTAGTTTTGATCATAACTCAATTTCATCAAATGGAACGAGGGTGGCTCATTAGCATATTTCGAAAAAGCATTTTTTACTAATCATTTGGTACCACATACTTGGTATTTCGAGTCAAATTGTAGTTACATTTATAGTCATGGCACTCTAGATTGAGATTTGTTTTTTTTTAATTGAAAATTTCAAAAGTTGACGTATGATATGCCTTCTATTCAGAATGTAATTTTCTATCAAAGTAAAAAAATACCGAGGGTGCCATTTAAAAATCAAAAGTTGTAGTCATTTCCGGTGAAACAGGAAGAGACCGAAAACAATTGAATACGTCAATCAATCCTAACTTATGCCATATACTAACATATCAAGTCTCGTTTTTTGATATGAAAAAAATAAAACAGTTATAGGGGTCAGCCACTTTTGAAAAACACCCGGTATACCTAGAGTAGGTATGTATGTGATATATTATTATATATCTTTCTGTAATTCGAAAAATTGAGTGCCATGTGTTATCAACTTTTTCTCTACACCACTCATTAAAAGCTCTGAAGTTTGTGATTAAATTTCTTAGCTTAATAATATATTCGAAGTGACAACAAACACTTATTTTACTTCCTTTTTATGGCCTTTTACTTACTTATTTTTTGATTGTCTCATAAACTGCTGAATTTTCCTGGCAGCTTGGTGCTGGCGCCTTTGCGAATACGTTCGTCTGAAACAGATCCTGTCATGTAATAACTTTTGCAAAATGACACTTAACAATCGGTAACTGTACAACATTGACGGCACACAGCGGCTAAGAACACCAAAGCAGGCAGGGTAGAAGGTTAATTGTTAGTAGGGAATCGCTTGCACTTAGTTATTGTTTATTATTAATAATTGTTTTTTAGTTAATAGCGGGTAAAACAGAATCTAGTGGGGTATAATATTGATGACAATGAATATTATATTGCCAGATTACTAGTGTTTACAGTCGCCGTATGAGATTTTTTTTAATTTGATTTGTGAAACCATTTCCTGATTGTCTTATATTTGAATTACCTCTCAAAATATTATATAATTATAGCAAGTATATTTAAGTTTCAACATTGTTAACACATTTTTGATGCTAAAAATCATTACAACTATACAGAGTGGCTCAAAAATGTAAGAAACAACAGCGTTTTATTTTTTTAATAAGCTTTATGATAAAGCTATTTTTACACTAAAATTTTATTATTTTAATTGGAATGTTTTATATTTTTGGATTTGAGTTAGTTTGACTTAGTTTTGACTTATACTGAAAACTTCTTTGATGTAGATTTTGCCTACTTAAAAACTAATAGGATATCAATCCGATAAAAAATATTTATTCCTTTTGAGAAAATAACAAGGATAAAAATAAAAATTTGTTAGTTAAAATTAATCAAAATATACCTTTTTATGTTAGAATTCTACAAAGAATAAATTTCAACTTTGTTAACAAATACACCGCAACACTTCTACACAAACAGCAAAGCCAAATGTATGATAATGTCCAATAATGATCCCTATTCAAAACAATACTAAAATATGTCCAATGAGTCAGGGAAGATTTCGACAGGGAGACAATGCAAATACATTCAAATAAAATATACGGGGGGTACCGCTTAAATTCCTGTCCCGATGTTGAAGGATGACTATAGAATTTCAATGCATTTCCTACATAAGTCTATCCTTGTGTGGTAGATCCAGCTTCTAAACAAGGATGGACTTATGTCCTCAATCCAACAAACTCGATCTTCTGTCCTTCAATTCTGGGACATAAATTGGGGACATTGCTCTTATGGGGAGGCCTCCGTATATTTTAATTTAAACGTATTTGAAAAAATGACAGAAAATACAATTTGTCTATGAACTAAAATGACAGGCTCAAATGTTATTGTCAGGGATCCTCTTGGACAGATTTTAGTATGTATTTTGTAACCTGTAAAACCAAAAGTTTTACATTATCATTTAAGTTTATTAATATTAATCAAAAATTATATGATGCATCTGAAATTATGAAAATGCATTATTAAAAATTATTATTTTGCTATCTTTTATTTTTCTTTTAAGTTTCATGAGTCATGCTATATTACACAAACAGTATGAAACACAAAATTTAAATTTAAGACTATATTACAGATAAAACATTATCTAAAAAACATTTATTTTTTAATAATGATATAGGTAGGTTAGTTTTGTACATAAACATCATGTGCGTGAGCAACTAACACCGATATAACCAAAAAACAAGGATTTCTTTAAACAAAATTCGTTGTTTTTTGGTTAATATAGTACACAGTTAAACACCACTACTTATAAGCCCAACACCAATGTTAGCAGTCGATTCCCTTACTTAACATAAACAAATTTATTATGTGCATTAGCTACATTAAAAATGTACATAAAAATATTTTTTTACAGTTACAATATATCGTATTGTCAAGAAAAATGGCGCATCCGCCAGAAATTAAAAATGTATTACTGGTTGCCTGCACAACCGCAACGTATCCGCCAGAAATTAAAAGACTTTTTCAGGCGCCATCTTTTAGTCAAGTCGAGAAGTAAGGGAATCAGACAATAGAATTGTCCGGTATGAAGAAGTACGCTTTCCGAGAATTGGGGAAATTTCGAGAAGCAGTCAATAGAGTATATAAGCCGGAGCCATCGACAACTGAGACAGTTTTTGAAATTTGAATATACCGCGTGGAAATTGAAAATCGGACAATTTGGTGAAGGAATCTTATAAATAGTTAGTTTGTTGTGTGTTATAAGTTAGTAATTGTGTATAAAGTGAGAAAATAACACCCACGGAATCCGTAACAATTGGTGTCGGAAGTGCGATTCAAGAGGATTTTAAGAAGAAATTAAGTGGATTGGACGATTTTTACACCGAATTTGGGAATTTTTATGGTTGGTACGAGACAGCAAGCGAGGAAAATGGAGGAAGTAAGCAAACTATTGGGCGATTTTATGGAGAATATGAGAAGAGAGAAAGCTGAAGAACAAGAAAGACTACGTAGAGAAAAGGAAGAGGAAAAATTATGACGTCACTAAGAAAGATAGCTACCCACTGCCACGTATAGATGACACATTAACAACTCTCGCAGGTTCGTGCTGGTTCTCCACTCTCGACTTAAAGAGTGGATACTGGCAAGTTGGTCTGGACGAGGAAGACAAAGAAAAGACGGCTTTTTCTACAGGAAACGGACTATACCAATTCAAGGTCATGCCGTTTGGATTATGCAATGCTCCAGCCACTTTCGAACGTCTCATGGAGGTGGTGTTAAGAGGATTAACTTGGAAAACGTGCTTGGTTTACCTCGACGATGTATTGGTTATGGGAAGAACTTTTGAGGAGCATTTGCGAAATTTAGAAGAAGTCTTTGGCCGCATACGGAATGCTCACCTGTACTTGAACCCGAAGAAGTGTAGCTTATTCCAGCGACAAGTGGAATTCTTGGGTCATGTAGTCTCGGCAGACGGAATTTACACCGACCAGAAGAAAATCGCTGCGATCAAGGATTGGCCTAAACCTCGCGACAAACATGAACTTAGAAGTTTTCTGGGTTTATGCACCTATTACAGAAGATTTGTCAAGGGATTTGCCAATATAGCTGCACCCTTACATAGACTTACAGGTGATGAAGTCGGCTACGAATGGAACACCGATTGTGATGTAGCCTTTGGAAGACTTAAGGCGGCTTTATGTTCAAGTCCTATTTAGCCTACCCGCAACAACAAGGGAGGTATATCCTGGATACCGACGCCAGCAATATCGGCATAGGTGCAGTGCTATCACAAGTGCAAGATGGCGAAGAACGAGTGATAGAATATTACAGTCGAGTTCTATCCAAACCAGAAAGGAATTACTGCGTTACCCGGAAGGAGCTGCTAGCAATTGTGAAGGCAGTTGATCATTTTCATAAATATCTGTACGGCCAAGAATTTTTAATTAGGACAGATCATGCGGCTCTCAAATGGCTTATGGAGATGAAACAACCTGAAGGCCAAATAGCACGATGGCTCGAGAAGCTCCAGCAGTATCACTTTACCATCCAACATCGTGCTGGGAAGATGCATGGTAACGCAGACGGTTTATCCAGAAGACCCTGTCAAACCGATTGTAAGCACTGCTGTAAAACGGAACAACGTGAAGGCACTGTCATGATAAGGAGTTTTAAGCTTGGAGCTGATGAACAGTGGACGACGGCACAGTTGAGGAAAGACCAAATGGAAGATCCAGACATCGGAGCAATACTAGGGCTCAAGGAAGGTAACGGCGAGAGACCACCGTGGCAGGATATTGCGGACAGAGGGCTAGTTTTCAAAGCTCTCTGGGCTCAGTGGAATTCACTGGTTATTGAGAATGGATTGTTAAAGCGCATGTGGGAAAGTGCGGATGGCAGGACAGTAACAACTCAGTTACTGGTACCAAGGAAGAAAGTTACCCAGGTATTGGAAGAAATTCACGGTGGTAAAACTGGAGCCCATCTTGGGGTAAACAAGACCTTGAGCAAGCTGAGAGATCGTTTTTACTGGGTGGATTATTGCGAAGATGTCAAGAAATGGTGTCGACAATGAAAACTTGTGCAGCCAGCCAAGGACCAAGCACTCGCTCTAGGGGAAAAATGAAACAATATAACGTTGGACTGCCATTCGAAAGAATCGCTGTTGACATTGCAGGCCCATTCCCTGAAACGCACAAGGGCAACAAGTACGTTTTAGTAGCGATGGATTATTTCAGTAAATGGCCAGAAGTTTTTGCCATTCCAAACCAAGAAGCATCGACTGTAGCTGAAGTATTGGTCAATAATGTCTTCAGTAGATTTGGAATTCCCTTAGAGCTTCACACTGACCAAGGAAGGAACTTCGAGTCAAGACTGTTCCAGAAGATGTGTGATCTGCTTGGTATTCACAAGACTAGGACAACAGCTTTACATCCGCAGTCTGATGGGATGGTCGAAAGATTCAATAAGACCATTGAAGAACACCTCTCGAAAATGGTGGCCGAACATCAAAGAGATTGGGATCAACACATACCGCTGTTCCTAATGGCGTATAGAAGTGCAGTTCACAACACCACCGGACTTTCACCATCGAAGATTTTATTTGGTCGAGAATTACGGTTGCCTTGTGACTTGGTGTTCGGATCACCAGACGACGGCACCACAAATGTAGAGGACTACGCGGATGAACTGAAGGAAAGGTTAATGGAAATTCATAAGGCCGTAAGAAGTAAGATTACGCTAGCCAGTGACCGGATGAAAGCTCGTTACGACCTCAGAGCCAATTCTACGGGATTTCAACAGGACGATATGGTATGGTTATATAACCCACAGCGCAAGAAAGGGAGGTCCCCAAAGTTAACTCCAGCATGGGAAGGTCCTTATACAGTCATCAAGAGGATAAATGATGTTGTGTACCGGATTCAACGCAGCCCTAGAAGTAAGATGAAAGTAGTTCATCTGGATCGATTGAAGAGATACCAGACAGGAACCTTGATCGGGACGATCAAATTTGAGAAGGGGCAATGTCAGAAAAATGGCGCATCCGCCAGAAATTAAAATGTATTACTGGTTGCCTGCACAACCGCAACGTATCCGCCAGAAATTAAAAGACTTTTTTCAGGCGCCATCTTTTAGTCAAGTCGAGAAGTAAGGGAATCAGACAATAGAATTGTCTGGTATGAAGAAGTACGCTTTCCGAGGAATTGGGGAAATTTCGAGAAGCAGTCAATAGAGTATATAAGCCGGAGCCATCGACAACTGAGACAGTTTTTGAAATTTGAATATACCGCGTGGAAATTGAAAATCGGACAATTTGGTGAAGGAATCTTATAAATAGTTAGTTTGTTGTGTGTTATAAGTTAGTAATTGTGTATAAAGTGAGAAAATAAATTCGTTAAGTATTTTATCGTGAGTTTAAATTAGTGGACCCACGGAATCCGTAACAGTATCTTATCCTCTTCATTAAATAAATGAAAGTACTACTTAATTTTAAATTTAGCTGCAAAGTATTAGAATTTGACAGCAACTTTCTTATTTTAAATACCCTCATTTTTTTCTTTGGTTAGGATTTAAATTATCTGTAAGGTTGCATGCATTTTGATATACAATACCCTAGGTCTAAAGTTTGCCTGACCATAGCTGACATAATGAAACATGTAACTAGATAAAATCAAGAAAAAAATATGATTTAATGCATTGATTTAAATATACATTTTTATGCACATAACAAATTTGTCTTATTTCCTAATAATCCTTACTTAAGCCCCGAACTGGCGGGGGTGCCTTCTCTGCTGCCCCTACCCCCTGCCTCCTTGTAGTTCCTGTAATAATTTTGTATACAGACCGCCGCCTCCTGGCTCTTTTTAAATCTCTTGTGCTCGCAATAGGACCTAAGTTAGAATATAACAACCAGTCAGAGAGTATGCTTAAAGCCCGACCAAGATCGATAGACGTGCAACCTTAAATTTATTTGAGAATTTATTAAATTGTTTAGATAATAGTTTTTTCAACAGTCAGCTAGATATCGTCCCGCATTTTCGAGTTTTGCGTGTCATATTCTGCACATATACATCTTATCAAATCTAACGTGGGGTTTGAGGTGGCTCCGCAACGCTGTGCGCAATAGACAGTATCATATCTTTTTCACTCTCACCGACGCGCATCTTCTGTCATTTTAGAATAAGTAGGAGGAGCGCAGGAAGATAATTAGACCGGGCTTTTAAAAACCTACGTCTGTTGTAAAAATGATAGCGCGCGTGTCGATTCTAACTTCATCAAGCGATGAATCACTCCCAAACATTCGTGGCGTTTACTATACGAACTTTTTATTTATTTTTATCTGCAGAATATGCAGCCGAAGTTTCCGGAATACAGTTCGGACAACCCTGTATATTAAGTAATTGATTAAATACACAAGTATACACGGTTTTGGACCCGAGCAACTAAAAGCAATTTCTAAGATAAATTTTGGAGCTGAATCCAAACCAGCAGTCCATTTTTTAAGATTGGTTCTAGTTTTCGAAATATTCAATAAATTAATTATTTTACTATTTTTGACCGTTAACGGTTATTTATTGAATTAAACAATATAAATCAGAAATGAGCAGAGGTTGAACTGAGTCTTTTATACTGCTTGGAATCTGTTTCACGGATTAGGGCCCAACAGTAATCGCTCATCATGCCTTTGTCCCAAAATCCTTGGTATCGCTTTTCGATTTTCGCTATATCTTGGTGCGGCTACACCAAGATATATTGCTCGTCGCTCGTGTCGCCCAAGTTTTGTGGAAAAAAATCAAGATGTGAATGCAGAAAATGTATTTTGAGAGACATTCAAGCTCCAATCTTGTGGTAATTTTGCAACAAATTGTCGATTACTTGCTTGTAATCCAGTGATTTATGATTACCGAGAAAGTTGTGAACAACACTTTGAAACGATGCCCATCAAGGCTGCCCATTTCTGCTGCCTCATCAAGCGTTAAACATTTTGTAAACGTTGCGTCAGCCATTAGTTTTCGAATATCAGGTCCGACCTTTGAATAAGAAGACTAAGGAAGCAGCATAATGCTATCCATCTATTCATGCATGGTCGGCGGAAAAGCCACCATAAAAGCTCTCTAGGGTGGGGATCCTTGACAGTTCTGTTTGACGATTCATTTGACACATTTGAATTTGATTTGAAATTTTGTGGATTTGTCAGTCTTTACGGAGCTTATTTTATGTTATTTATTATTTATTCTACTACTGATAGTTGTATAAAGGTAGTAAATCTAGATGGAAATTGTGGCAGAACTTAAATTAACAGTGACACTATCGCGATTTATCGAAAAGACTCTAAAATAGTTGGTTGTGTAGCGTGCGGTAGATCTCGGCAAAAATTGAGTGAAATAATGGAACAACTTTTCGCTAGTAAGTGACTATATAATATACATACGTGTAGTAAACCGATCATTTATGAAATTCACTTAAATTAACTAAATTATATATTTTTCTTGCATTTTAGCTTTTATTTATTACTTGTCAAAAATTAGATGTCAAAGAATTTAGATACGTTAATTTGACTTACCTGCTTCAGTAGCGTATCGGATGTTTGTGTTAATAAATACTTATTATAACTTATCTATTCTTATTAGAAATATATATATTTATAACAATTTTAATAACTACCAACATTTATTCACAACGTAAAATAAAACAACAAATTATTGAGTCTACCCCACGTCTACCCTACATCATAGTTTTACATTTTTTAAATAAAATTAGAACGACACTGATAAACCGGAATTTAAGTCGGCCATATTTGAGGCCCATCGCGGTGTACCTAAGATTTTTGATATGCTCCGCTCCTTCCTTAGTCTTCTTATTCAAAGGGTCCGACAAATATTCCTTCTTTGATTTTTGCGAATGACAGTTTTGGAAACAACTTGGTTAAGTGCTGGAAAGCTGGTCCTTCGCGATTAAGCGCTTTGACAAAGTTCTTAATAAGGCCAAATTTAATGTGAAGAGGTGGCAGTAAAACGTCCTGTGGGTTTACAAGTGGTATCAACGTCGTCAACTGACCGTGCGTCAACTACCCGGGCCGTTATAAGAGCGAGTGCTACTGCCAAGTGCGAACACGAAAACTAGAGCCAATCTTGACAAACGGATTGAAGATCTGAGTTCAGGGCATCAAATGACGTCAGGAATCGTTCTCATCTGCTCGGGTCCAAAAGTTGACCCGAATTTGTAAACTTGTGATATTATTCAGGGTGCTCAGAAAAAATGATAAAAATTACAATACAAAAATAACATTAAAACATTGTAAAGTCTTATCAAATGTTTTCCAAAAATTTAACCAAGTTATTTGAAAAATGTTTAAAATAGTTTAAAAACACTTTTGTCTTTATATTTCAAGGATAAAAACATTCTAAACAAATTTTTAAAGTTGCACGTCTCCTCAAAATGATTCTTCTGCAAATTTGCAATACCAAGTAGAATCAAATCTATATTATACAGGGGATATATAATTTAAAACAAAATGCACTATCTTCAGAGTCCCAGCTATGTACTATAGAGATTCTTACACCGTTAATTTTAAAGAATAATAATTGTCACTCTGGAATGTAACTGTCAACAATCGTAGCTGCGACTCTAAAATATATTTGCACACTACGATTACTGCAATAGTATTACCTAAATCCGTTCTGTATAACGGTAGCAGCGTGGGTCATCTGCTTGTAATAAGCGTACTGCTTGTACCTCCTGTAATAGTTCTGGATAATGACAGCAGCATGACGTTCCTTGTCCTGTTCTTGCTGCTGCCTACCCTTGTAAGAACGGTAAGCCTTCTGGATGATCTTGGCCGCTTCGTACAACTCTCGCTGTTCACGATCTAAAAATAATAATTATTATTAAGTGTATCTAATTGTAATTGATAGTCTATTATTATAGCACCTAGTGGCAATATTTGAAAGTACCTATTACAGTTGTAATTGATAGTCTATGAATAAAGATAGTCGTTTGACAGGGTTTAACAAAACCGTGTGTTATTTTATTGCTCTCCTGGTATTTATCTTTTTATTTTTTATAAAATCTTTATAAATTATATAGTCTATATATTATTCAGAAACAAAAAGAAAGAGTAACAAACATCCAAACAAACTTTCGCGTTTATAATATTAGTAAGGATGTAGTTGGACTTCAGAATATAAAATCGCTTTCGTTTTGCAATATTGGGCATATAAATGTATACATGTTGAAATCATAATACCGGGTGCGTCTCAAAAGTGACTCATCCCTATAACTTTTTTATTTTTCAGATAAAAAACGAGATTTGGTGTGTTAGTATATGACATAAATTAGGATTGATTGACGTATTTAATTGTTGTCGGTCACTTCCTGTTTCACCGGAAATGACTACAACTTTTGGTTTTTAAATGGCACCCCCGGTATTTTTTTACTTTATTTGACAGAAAATGACACTCTACAGGGTAGACGCGCACTGTATACGTACCTAACTAGACATAGATGTTAGTTAATATTACCTGAGAGTGTTAAATTGGAAAAGTCTTTCTCAAACACCGTGCCCGAAGCTTGGAGAAACTCGCAGAAATCGGCAGTAGTGGGGGGCGGGGAGGGGGAATCTAACGTGAAAGAGCACGGAGACTGGAGGCAGCTGGACGAAGCCGGGCTCAAACTGGATTGGGGCGTACCAACATCACAGTATCTAAAACGAAAACAACAGGTTTAAGCATTGAGCACAGAATGAAAGGGTACATGATCTCACACTATAAAAAAGCATTTTAAAGAAATGTATATCATATACTAAGAAATGATCTATAATGTTAGCATTTTATTTATTTAATCTTCATAAGATTGTAAAAATACAGTACTAATAATATAAAACTTACAAAACAAATTATTTTGAAACCAATACATATATTAACATTGGTGAACATTTAGAGAATTGGGAAAAAACTATTAAAAAGGCTCTCTCTTTTTAATGTGTGTTATATTTTTGAAATAATAAAAAAATAGTTATCGATTATATATTTTGTTATCCTATTTAAAGACAATACCGTATGAATGAATTTGATACCGTATGCAATTTCTGGATAATATATACAGGGTTGTTCACCACATACGACACGAAGTATTGTAGCTAAACGATTAGATTTTTACAAATTGTAAGTTTTGGGTTCGTTGAAGGACTATTAGAGCTACAATTTAAAAATAATTTTACAACATACAGAGTGTTCCAAATAAGTAAAAAATTGTATATAGTAAAAAAGTTGTATTTTTTTAATGGAACACCCTGTATATTATTCAATTTTTAGATTCTACGATTGAAATAAAGGTAAATTTGATTAAGGTTTATCACACTTAAACCTTACCAGTTTTGAAATATTTTCAATTTTGTGAAATTGCAGTAAAAAATTTTAAGGCTTCAATTCACCAAGGGTATCGAAGTTTTTAATACTAAGTATTTACTGAAGATTATTTATTGATCAGATATTGTGTTGCAATAATAAAAATTATATGCTACCTTAAACAGAGTGTCCACAAAATTATATTACATAATTACTAGCTTTAAACGGCAATAACTTGTTTAATTTAAAGGGAACACCCTGTATATTTTACGCGAATCAGATGCACAATTTAATTGTCTATCAAATTGTATTATACCATTTTTACCTATCTCTTAATTTTTTCGTAGAAAATGCATTTTTTTATAATTTAGACCTCATTTAATATACCCATGGAATATTGACATTTTAGATTTTTTTAGTATAATTTTTATTATTGCAACACAATATCTGATCAATAAATAATTTTCAGTAAATATTTAGTATTAAAATCTTTAATACCCTCGGAGAAATAAAGCCTTAAATGTTTTACTGCAATTTCACAAAATTGAAAATATTTCAAAACCGGTAAGGTTTAAGTGTGATAAACCTTAATCAAATTTACCTTTATTTCAATCGTAAAATCTAAAAATAGAATAATATACAGGGTGTTCCATATAAAAAATACAACTATAATATTTTTTACTTATTTGGGACACTCTGTATCTTGTAAAATTATTTTTAAATTGTAGCTCTAATAGTCCTTCAACGAATCCAAAACTTACAATTTGTATAAATCTAATCGTTTAGCTGCAATACTCCGTGTCGTATGTGGTGAACAACCCTGTATATTTAAACTTGACTAAAAACTCTACTCTCTAATATCTTACTGAACATTGTTCATAATTTCTTAGTGTATAGTAATTGTTTCTTTATTATTCACATTCTTGAATTAGTGATTATAATATATCGTTTGCTAGTGTAACGCTGTAACTACAAAATTCGCTAAATAATTAGATAAAATAGGCAAATTGAGTGCAATGTGTTTCAGACTCTTTAAAGATGAATTCAACATTTAATCAGCCTAAGATCTCTACATATATTTAATTTCCGGTTTCAGGCGTTAGTATCAAAGAAGGAAATAAGCTTAAACACTGTTAGGTGTTTTGGTACGACACTTACCTATAATTGTTATCGGAAAATTCAAAACTAAACTCCGTAGTCTCAAAGTTGGAAGAAGATTGTTCCAAGAGCGGCTCCATGTAGACGTCATAGAGGGTCTCTGTGGACTGTTGGCTGTCGGGAGGTCCGGGACTGTTTTCCATAAGAAGGTCTTCTGACTCGTTCTAAAAACATATTTTAATTCAATTTCTTTAATTTCCTCAAGTTTTTTGAACTATTTATTATTAACACATTTATATAAAGATGTTGCTTCGAAATAAGTATCTATGGAGTTAATTCTCTAGTGATTTTCCACTTAATACATTAATAGAACTTATCTAACGTCTAAAAAGGATATTTATACAGGGTCCGGCAATAGTAGCTCCTAGAATAAAAAACTTGAGAATTTTGTTTAAGTGCAAACCTAAAGTATGTATCAGGATGTATTTCAGGAAAATATTTTAACTTCTATAGGGTAGCTCAAAAAAGTGTGAGTGAACCTGGATGATTTTTTTTAAACGGAACACCCTGTATATTATTGCATTTTTGGATTCCTTTCAGATCACTTTACATAACCCTAAGATATGAATAAATATATTTCGATAGTTTCAGAGATATTGAAAAATATATCAAAAATATATATTTTTCAGCCCTTCTTAAAAAAATTATTAAAAATACAAGAAGTGTTCTGAAATCAAAACTATATTAGGTATTTACTTTAGATGGTCTGTTCTTACTTTGCTATAAATATGGTAATCGTAAATCATACAGGATGTTCAATATTCTACGCCAAACTTTCTAAAATATAAAATATTTTTTTTCTTTGTTTTATTAAATAGAACACCCTGTATATTATTTTTTTATTAGATGGAGAATTAAAAAATGATCATTTTTTGTATTTAGAGTACCGTGAAATGGGGTGACTTTGCCTCTTGGGGTGACTTTGCCAAATTCCGTCCGAAAATATGGTAGACGTAGCCGTAGCCACTACTTGAAAAGAACGCGTTATGTGTTATCGGTAAATTATGGGTGGAGGCGCCCCACGTCTCGGAACGTCGCTAAACGCTTGCCGTCAGTTGCGATGTAGCATTTACAGTGCTGTGAAGCCAAATCTGTTTTTAAAGCCTATTTTGTGCGTTTCAAACTTCTACGTGGCTGCAATAGTTAACCACGCTATATTGAGGTAAGTATTATGCAGAAGTTCGTTATAATATTGAGGGTGATGAAGCATCTTTTACGTAATTATGCTTTTAAATGGGGTGGCTTTGGTCTATCAATAAGAATAAGGAAGAGGGCAAAGACACCCCATATAAGCAACTAACTTTGCCCATCCAGTTTTTTCCTTTTTTTACATATATATTTGTTTAATAAACAAAAAAGCGTATTATTGTTGTGTTGTCCTTATTACCACTTATAGCATAGACCATGCGCATTTGAGAAAATACAACAATTTTTGAAATAAACACGATTTAAAATTCAGAATTGGGCAAAGTCACCCCACTTCACGGTATTTCAAAATTTTTAACTGTTTCGCAGATATACGCAGTATTATTTCATATGGCGCTTTCAATGGTAAAATACGAGAGAAAAATCATTGGGTGGCTTTGATAAAAATTTACTGTGGAAAATGCCATATGAAATATAAAAGTCCAAATATCTGCGAAACCGTTAAAAATTTTGAAATACTTTAAATACAAAAAATTTTAATTTTTTAATTCTCCGTTTATTGAAAAAATAATATACATTCCATTTAAAAAAACGAAGAAAAATTATTTTATATTTTAGAAAGTTTGGTGTAGAATTTTGAACATCCTGTATGATTTACGATATTTATATTTATAGCAAAGTAAGTACAGACCATCTAAAGTAAATACCTAATATAGTTTTGATTTCAGAACAGTTCTTGTATTTTTAATAATTTTTTTTAAGAAGGGCTGAAAAATATATATTTTTGACTTATTTTTTAATATCTCTGAAACTATCGAAATATATTTATTAATATCTTAGGGTTATGTAAAGTGATCTGAAAGAAATCCAAAAATGCAATAATATACAGGGTGTTCCATTTAAAAAAATCATCCTCATCCACTCACACTTTTTTGAGCCACCCTGTAGAAGTTAAAATATTTTTCTGAAATTCATCCTGGTATATACTTTAGGTTAGCACTTAAACAAAATTTCCAAGTTTTTTATTCTAGGAGCTACAGATGCCCGACGCACTATTGCCGGACCCTGTATAGTGTTTCAAAACAAATGGCGAAAAACAAAATGATTATTCCTTGTTAATATAAGGAACTATACATGATTAGCCAACAATAGATTAAAGTTTATTTATATCCTTTGAGGTAAGATATTTCTATACAATATTATACCGGGTGCGTCTCAAAAGTGGCTCACCCCCTATAACTTTTTTATTTTTTCAGATAAAAAATGAGATTTGGTATGTTAGTATATGACATAAATTAGGATTGATTGACGTATTCAATTGTTTTTTGTCACTTCCTGTTTCACCGGAAATTACTACACCTTTTGATTTTTAAATGGCACTATCGGTATTTTTTTACTTTATTCGATAGAAAATGACATTCTAAATATAATGACATATCATATGTCAACTTTTGACATTTTTGTTTAAAACAAAATTGAATTTTAAATTTCAATCTAGAGTGCCATGGCTGTGTTAAAAACACTAATTTTTAGTCAAGAAGCCTTCGAAAAATAGATTTGATCGTCTAATGTTATTCGTGTCTTGTCCAGGTCGATTAAAAGATGCCCAAATAGTATTTTTAATCATATCTGATTTTTTTCAAATGGAACGAGGGTGACTCATTAGCATATTTGGGAAAAGCATTTTTTTGCGAATAATTTGGTACCACACATTTTGTATTTCGAGTCAAATTATCGTTATGAATCGCATGTTGCAATTTCAAATAAACCATATTCGAAAATGTCAAAAGTTGACACATAATATGTCATTCTATTCAGAGTGTCATTTTCTATCGAATAAAGCAGAAATATACCGAGGGTGCTATTTAAAAATCTAAAGTTGTAGTCATTTCCGGTGAAACAGGAAGTGACAGAAAACAATTGAATACGTCAATCAATCCTAATTTATGTCATATATTAATATACCAAATTTCGATTTTTTATCTGAGAAAATAAAAAAAGTTATAGGGGTGAGCCACTTTCGAGACGCACCCGGTATAAAAACATATTTCGTAAGAGTTCTAGACTTATATATTAATTATTTACCTTTATTCTGTCAGGCATGGCAGCAATAATTTGTTCTGCAAGCGTCAAAACTCTGGCGTCTTGTTCCCCTGTAAAAAGTTTCCAAAAAAAAGGGATAAAACACTGCCACAATTCAAAATTAATTTAAAGTCATCAGAATAAACAAGATAGTAAAGGATATGCTAAGATAAAACAAATAAAACACATGCAAGCTAAGCATAAGCCCATACTGAAAGCCAATCATTGTAAAAAACTGCGTATTCTATTCTAAAACTGATTTTTGATTTGAATTGGGAATTTGATCTTTTAATTATGTACAAAAAAGATCAAAAGATTATAAAAAATAGCATTGTTTATAGTTAAATATTTATATAATTTAGTTTGCTATGAGTTTCAGGTTTTTGTGAAATATTCTGTTCTTTAACTATATCTAATAGTATACAGGGTGTTTCAAAACAAATGCGAAAAACTTCAGGGGGTGATTCCTTGTTCAAAATAAAGGGTAGTTTGCTTCATAAACGTTGGGTCAAAAGTCAACCATTAGGGAGATATCGCGGTACAAAGATGGCGGAAAAATAAAGTTCTTATTTTTTATCTTGAAAACGAAAAGAGATAGACTAATGAAATTTTATGGAAGCATTACTGTTATGAAAACACACTTTCTGGTAATTTTTTCACTTTTTTAAAATGAGTGGAAGGGGTTGAAATAAACTACCCCTATCATTCTTATTAACGAAATTTAAAGAAAAATCTTATCAAATACATGCAAAAATTAATTAATTTGGATAGTTTAGTTTGTTTAGAAACTTTTTTATCTCTTGTATTTTTTTGATAAAACTCACCGATTTGAAATTAAAAAATAAAATGTAAAGCATTACATGTCAGGACAAAAACATTTTCTGAAAAGAATCTAGTGGGCTGCTGTAATTTTTTTAGGAAAAAATCGGTCGCTGTTACTTTTTAGGATTTTCCTAATATTATTTTATTTGACATTACTCTACTGCAATACGTTATTATCTAGATGATTATTATTATCATTATTATCACTAGATTCTTAATCTAAAAATATTTTTTGTCCAGACATGTAATGCTTTACATTTTATTTTTTAATTTCCAATCGGTGAGTTTTATCAAAAAAACACAAGAGGTAAAAAAGTTTCTAAACAAACTAAACTATCCAAATTAAAGTATTTGCATGTGTTTGATAAGAATTTTCTTTAAACTTCGTTAACAAGAATGATAGGGGTAGTTTATTTCAACCCCTTCCACTCATTTTAAAAAAGTAAAAAAATTACATGAAAGGGTGTTTTCATAACAGTAATGCTTCCATAAAATTTCATTAGTCTATCTCTTTTCGTTTTCAAGATAAAAAATAAAAACATTATTTTCCGCCATCTTTGTACCGCGATATCTCCCTAATGGTTGACTTTTGACCCAACGTTTATAAAGCAAACTACCCTTTATTTTGAACAAGGAATCACCCCCTAAAGTTTTTCGCATTTGTTTTGAAACACCCTGTATAATACAAACAATACAAAAGTTGACAATAAAAGACATCCAGTATATCAAATGAGAGGTCGAAAGTAAGAGTGGGATAAAATTTTGTTCAAAGCAAAAGTGGGTTTAAATTTTCTCTAAGATCAAAAATAGCATATACATCACAACTTTGGGCAAAAGTAAATCGAATATTAATCAGCGCAAAAATGGTTCGACAAAATATTCAGGGCAAAAAAGCTATAAAATATTAACCCGTTTTGCGCTAAGAAAATAATACGTAGATTCGATAGACGATAAGAAAATGGTTCTTTTTACTCTGCGCGCTGCCGTATTTATGTACTATCGAAGGGACGTTTTTATAATACTATTGAGTATTGAGTGCTGTTTCACATGGAGCGGACGTGCGGACCATCGTGGACCATTGTGTGTATTTTTAAGAATTGACGGAGTACTTTCACCTGTAGATCGCCCATTGGTTGAACAAGTACCATGAGTATTGAATGTATGAATACTTTCACATAGGCGCGGATGATCCGTCGAAGCAAGGGATCGACGGATGGCTGTTGGACGAAATCATACGGGCGGACCATCCGCGCCCATGTCAAAATACTCATACAAGCTCATAGTACCTCTTCAATAAACGGACGGTCCGCGCGGACGCCGGACGGCCCGCTCCATGTGAAACGGCACAACAGGGACGATCAGCGCGGACGGTTTGAGCGAATGCTCCGCCCGTGTAAAACTGCACTTCATACTAAATTTTATTTCGTGTTTTTGCACCTATTTTAGTGTGTTGTTTATCTTTCTTGTCTATGGTGTTGTTCAGTATGGCAAAAGCATCTCTAGCAGAGCTGCAAGCTCACAGAAAACTTAAGTCTTTTTGACTTAAATCATTTTAGTGACTTAAGTCATTTGATTTTAAGTCGATAAATCAAATGACTTAAGTCATTTCATTTATTTCGAAAGATGACTTAAAATACTTAAATCTTTTTTAACGACTTATTTTATTTTAAAAAGATTTAAATCTTTTTTAAAAGATACAATATGACCGAAAAAGAACGGCGTCAGCGATGACTATGAAATGAAGTTCGCTGTCATTTTATATGTAAAATTATATGGGGAATGTCATTGATGTTTATTTCCAAGCCAACTGGATGCCGTTTTTTTATCATACGGTATATACCTATTGATATAGTAATTATTTATATTTTTTGCTTCACACTGCTGTACTGCTGTTTATTTAATTTTTGTGTTTCACACACATTTTTATACCTATAAGATAATGAGTTTGATATTACAAAACACAGTATTTTAGTTATAGGAAAATATAAAGCCTAACGGCTCGGAAATTTTCAAAAGTGAAGAATATAATTATACAAAAATTATTTCCATTGTCTAGATGTGCACTTCCGAATATAACTTGTTTAGTTTATATCTGGTCGGCACCTTTTGACTTCGGCACGCGCTTTGATATCACACACGGACCGCCGCCGCCGATGCCATTTGAAGAAAAATATATTTCATAGAAAAAATAAATTACTCCCTCTTTTATGCGATTTTTCGAAAAGAAAATGCGGACTGGGACCACATACGTATTTGCATTGATTGTGTCCGCACGTGTAATACGGAAGAATATAATATTTTTATTTGTTTAATATTTTTTTGAATTTTGTTTTATTTTTATTTAATATAATTTATTTACGAATTTGTATTTGAAAAAATAAATTCAGTGTTCAGTGACTTTAAGGATAATAGATAAGTAAGTACACTTAATTTCCTCATTTCATTAGTAGAGTAAAAAATAAAATAAATTTGTAATAAACATGCATATATAATATTTTATACTTTTTATGGGACGGAGTCACAACGCCCCCACCCCTTACCCCCCCCAGCTACAACGTTGTAAAAATCAATTCATAGAACTGATTTTATGCCCTTAGCAATTTAAATACACTAAAAAAAAAAAAAATTCTTTAAAATTTTTATTATGAACTTTTTATAACGTCTTTACATAATTTTATATTATATAAAAGCTTGTAGCGAGATTTGAGTGTACAGTTGTACGACAACTTTATCTTGTAATTCCTTTTCTAGTGGTGTATCATAAGACAAACTTTCAAAATGAGACAGGGTAGACACAGGTTTTAGATTGTCATGTATATTGTATATACTTAAAGTAAAGTTGTCGTACCAGATTTTTATGAGTGCAACTGTACACTCAAATCTCGCGACAAGATTTAATATAATATTAAAATTATGTAATGAAGTTATAAAGTTTATAATAAAAATTTTAAAGAAAAAGTTTTTTTTTTCTTTTTTGTGTATTTAAATAAAAGCTTGTTTTTAAAAAAGTTCTTTTTCTTAAAATTTATTTTTTACTTTTTAGTTATGCTGGTTTTTCTTAAATAACTTTCTATGGGCATCCTAATAATATGTATATCGATTTTCATTAACAAAGGAGAACTTAAAAAAACGACAGCTGTCAAATTTGACAGTTCAAATGTGAGACAAATAAAACGAAAACCGACTATGGGGTAGGGGGCATCCAATATATCGATTTTTATCAAAATCGGACAACTTTGAAATTTTTTGGACAGCTGTCAATTCTGACAGCTGAATTTTTCTTCTTTCATTTTAGCCCATGGCCATCCTATATATATATATATATATATATATATATATATATATATATATATATATATATATATATATATATATATATATATATATATTATGTCGATTTTATCAAAATCGGTTCACTTCGAAATTTTGACATGTCATTAAACTGTCATTTTTTCAAGATAGCCGCCCACATATTTTTTTTTCATATGTATATACCCACAATATACCTATATTATAATAAATAAATTTTTTTATAATAGAATTTTAAAAAATCAAAACCTCAAAATGGCGCCATTTTGGCCGCCATTTTAACAGCTGTCAAAAATTTGGTCATGCCTTGTAAAAAATGTATAATTTCCTACAATCAAAGGAAGTGGTTCTAATTTAGCTTACAAGATTTGCCCCGAACAAACATACATACAAAGCAAATTAAATAAAAGCTTATAAAAAGTTGATTTTTACACTACTTGTTGCATATGGTGCAAATGTTATTTTTGTATAGAAAACTAGAGGAACATGAATAAACTGACTGGCAAATACGCAAACAGATTTTTTTATCTAATAGTAAATTAACGATTTTTTCTTCGGACAAAAAAGGAATATTTTTAATCTTAGAGTAAAAGTGGCATATAATTATAACCCATTTTTACGGTAAAGTTTCTTTCTCTCATTTTTGCTCTCATTGCTACTTAAACCGCTTTTGCCCTCTGAAAAACGCAAACCGTTTTTGCCGAGAGTAAAATTTTAACCCACTTTTGCTATCAGCCTCTCAAATATAATTTTGATATTGTTTGAACTACGCAATATTTTTGGAGACATGCATTTGTTAAAATATACTCCAAATTATTAGTATTCAAAATGCCAGAAAATATTACTAATATTATTTTTTTAAATGAACCTACACTAACCAGTAAGAATAATATCAGATTTATAAAGTTCTGTACATAGAAAAATTAACTATTTTTAAATG